ATACACCTTATCATACTTACCTTGGGCTAACACTGTATATGAGACCTCGCTGATAAAGAGTGTGTGATTTTCACTCTATTCTGCACCCTTGCTTATCTACTCAATGACAAAGAGTGAATCTGAGAGCTTTCTTGTGACTGCTCAGGTTACAGAACCGTGACAAGACTCTTTTTGCACTGCAAAAATGCACCTTCAGGATCATGCCCCCAAGAAGCTCCCATCCCTTATGTATCATTCAACCAACACTTTTTGAGTTGCAAACTCTTGAATGCTGGACAAGACCTCATCAACTTCAACTTCTATGGTCCAGTACAAGGATCCACCTTTCTTACAAGACGAGATTCTCAGCAGGTATGTGATCACAACATTTTCCACTGGCTTTAATCCTGCTACCTTCATAACCACTAAGCTCAAGCTTTCCAATTCTCTTACACCATGTTGCTAATATTGTTGAAGTGAAACGCAGAGACGCTTTACCATTATGTTACAAGTCAAGAACAATCAGACTACATTCCAATTAATATTGAAGAGAGGTGGAGCAAGAGGAAAGAAACTTACCCGAAGCAGGAGCTCCTGATATCATTATTTTCAGAGGTGTCGGCGGCTCCGCTTTTCCCCCCGCCACAACCTGAAGATGTAGATATCCAAAATATATATATCGCACTCAACGCTGATTTTCGTCAAGACCAAACTAATAATCAATTTAAAAAACGAACCAAAGACACACACACCTCCTAGAATTCTCTGGCATTTCATCATCACTCCTCTCTTGGATTCTCCCCTGATTCTCTTGCAGATGCATTACGCCATGAACACTGATTTTGAAAACCGAACCAGACACACACAAGTCCCAAGGTTCTAAGCTGCAGACTTTGATCTCTCTGATGATTCCGTGGGGGTCGACTTTCCCAGAATTTTGTGATTAACATAAATAATCCATGACGAAATTCAAACTATGACTCTCCTCCATCTCCATCTAAGGCAAAATTGAAGAATTTTGTGAAAGGTTTCACTCTTTTTCTATTATTTCTAATAAAAAAAATTATCTACTTTACGAGAGAGAGAAGAGAGATAGAATTTGGGGGAGACAATTAGGTTAGATCCGATTTGTTTTGGGTGGGTGGGAAAATTAGAGGTTGAGCTTGTGAATATTCTGATTTGTTAAGGGTATTGAAGTCTTTCCGACCCTGGACCCACGTTTTCTATTTAAAAACTAATAAATCTATACTATTATTTAAGAAGTAAATTTTCTTAGTTGTCATGTTCTCCATAAGTTTAGTTAATTTTGTTTATCTATCATATTTTTAATATTTATATATAATTTATTTATAAATAAAATGAATTTATATGAATATATCATATTTTTAGTAAATAAGATAATTCTTGTGAATTATGTTGTTATCCTGAAATATATTTTATATATAAAACTTCAATATTAAATTTATATTAATAATATGATATTTTAGAAAATAAGTTAATTCTTATGTATTATGTTGTTATTTTGAAAATATATTTTTCTATTATAAAATTAACATTAGAAAATCTATACTATTATTTAAGAAGTTAATTTGATGTTTGTAGATTTTTCATATTCCATGATTTTAGTTATTTTTAATAATTTATCATAATTTCTATAATTTTATATATAATTTATTATATATTTAAAACAAATTTATATTAGTAATATCAGATTTTAGAAAAAGATACTTCTTATGTATTAAGTTATTGTCTTAAAAATATATTTTTTCTATTAGAAATTTCAAATTAAGATATAAAAAATTATAGTTATTCTATAATTGAAATAAATTTACACTAATAATTGTATACTTTTATAAAATACGGTAATTCTTATGTATTATGTTGTTATCTTGAAAATATAATTTTATATTATATAACTTAAAAGTAAAACATAAAAATTATTTATTATTAATTAAATATAAACCATCACGCAAAAAAATATATTAAAGAAGTGAATTAGCTGATTCATTAAAATCTTCATGATTTTAGGTAATTTTAATTATATATCATAATTTCTATAATCTTATATAATAATTATATAATTAAAACAAATTTATCATATCATATTTTAGAAAATAAATAACTTATCCATTATATTGTTATCTTGAAAATATGTTTTTCTATTATAAAATTTAAAATTAAGATATAAAATTATAATCAAATATAAATTAAGTAAAAATATTTGTATAAATATTATAATTAAATATAAATCAAGCAAAATAATTATTGAAAAGTATTCTTATAAATATTTTTGATGTCTTAGTTTTGTCATTGATAATTATTTGATGTTTTATTTGTACATTTTGAAAATATAAATAATAATTTATTATGCTAATTTTTAAATTAATGAAACATCAGCTAATAAATATTTGTAAGAGAATTATGCCCGCAAGTGCGGGCAAAACACCTAGTACTAAATAATCTACTATAATTAAAAGGGATTAATAAAGCTTTTTGAGAGTGTCCACGTCGACCTAAATAATCAACCAATAGAAGAGTTTCTTTTGTCCACGTCAGATTTGAACACGCGAAGCAAATTGTTGGTCCACTAATTCTATTTTTTTGAGCCGTAAAAGTTAATGGTTTATGGCCCATTAAGCGGATAGGTTTGGAAATCCTAAAACAGATGCTTCGTTCCTCAGTCTCCCTTCATCAGTTCTTTTCGCCTCTTCTCACTGTTATAGTTCTGTACCGGCTAGACGACGAAACGTCACACAATCCACTTTCCTGCAATCAATCCGTCCAAATTAGGCATTAATGGGTTCCTTTGGTATTTCTGCCTCTCTATTTCTTTCACTTTTTCCCATAGTTTCTCATTTTCTCCGACTTAGGCCCTGTTCGTTTGTACATCTGAAAGATGCATCCAGATGATCCATCCAGATGCCTTATCCAGATGGAGCATCTGGATGTTGTTCGTTTCTCTATTTCGTCTATACATCTAGATGAATCATCTGAATGTAACTATGTTCGTTTGTTTGTTTTTAACTTGCATCTGCATACAAATAAATTTGTTAATAAAATGAATAAANAGGCCCTGTTCGTTTGTACATCTGAAAGATGCATCCAGATGATCCATCCAGATGCCTTATCCAGATGGAGCATCTGGATGTTGTTCGTTTCTCTATTTCGTCTATACATCTAGATGAATCATCTGAATGTAACTATGTTCGTTTGTTTGTTTTTAACTTGCATCTGCATACAAATAAATTTGTTAATAAAATGAATAAAATAAATTTTGTGTTTAAATTTTTGGCAGGAATTTTACGATTTTGATGAAAAATGTGTTTTCCAGTTTTGTTGGAAAAATAACGTTTACGATTTTGACACAAAAATGTGTTTTTACGGTTTTAGCGGGAAAACATTTTTTACAAATTTGGCGGGAAAACGGGGTTTTATGGTTTTTGCGGAAAAATGCGTTTTTGCGGTTTTGGCGGGAAAATACGTTTTTATGGTTTTGACGGAAAAACGTGTTTTGCGGGAAAACGTGTTTTTGCGGTTTTTGCGGGAAAATGCGTTTTTGCGATTTTGGCGGGAAAATACGTTTTTATGGTTTTGCGGGAAAACGTTTTTTGCGGTTTTTGCGGGAAAACGCGTTTTTGCGGTTTTGGCGGGAAAATATTTTTACGGTTTTGGTAGAAAATGCGTTTTTGCGATTTTGGTGGAAAAATACGTTTTTATGGTTTTGACGGGAAAACGTGTTTTTGTGGTTTTTGAAAACACGTTTTTGCGGTTTTGGCGGAAAAATGACTTTTACGGTTTTGGTAGAAAATGCGTTTTTGGCGGGAAACGCGTTTTGACAGGAAAATGTGTTTTGCGGTTTTGGTAGAAAATATTTTTTTTTATGGTTTTGCGGGAAAACGTGTTTTTGCGGTTTTGACGAGAAAACGCGTTTTTACGGTTTTAGCGGGAAAACACAATTTTACGGTTTTGGCGTGAAAATGCGTTTTTGTGGTTTGGGCAGGAAAATGCGTTTTTACAGTTTTAGCGGAAAAACGTGTTTTATGTGTTTTTGGCGGGAAATGCGTTTTGGCGGGAAAATGCGTTTTGTGGTTTTGGCGGGAAAATGCATTTTTACGGTTTTAGCGGGAATATGTATTTTTGCGGTTTTAGCGGGAATATGTATTTTTGCGGTTTTGGCGAGAATATGTATTTTGCGGTTTTGGCGGGAAAGTGTATTTTTGCAATTTTGGTGGAAAATACATTTTTCAGTTTTTATGGTTTTCGCGAAAAAATCATTTTTTGGTTTTAACGGAAAAATATAATTGCAAAAAAGATTTAATATTTTTGGTTGAAAAATTATATTTATTTTAAAAGGTTTTTTTGTCATTTATTATTTTGGACTGAACTAGATGCATCTGCATCCAGATGCGTCATCAAGACTCACCCTCATTTGGGTGAGAATTTGAGATGAGTTTTAAGAAATTCAGTTGGGTGATCCATCTGGATGTAGCATTTTNTATAATTGCAAAAAAGATTTAATATTTTTGGTTGAAAAATTATATTTATTTTAAAAGGTTTTTTTGTCATTTATTATTTTGGACTGAACTAGATGCATCTGCATCCAGATGCGTCATCAAGACTCACCCTCATTTGGGTGAGAATTTGAGATGAGTTTTAAGAAATTCAGTTGGGTGATCCATCTGGATGTAGCATTTTCATGTACAAAACGAACATTGATTTGCATCTTCACCCAGATGGATCACTTGGGTGAGCAAACGAACAGCACCTTACAGTTGTCTACTCTCTCTCAATCATTAACGCCGACGAAATCCAACGGGAAATCTATTGTTTCCGGCGACGCCAACTCCAAGAAAACAGTTACAGTTTTCCCCTAATCCCCTTTCCTGCAAATCACTTTCCCCTTTACTCGCTGAATTACTTCTTATCTTTCCTTTGAGTGCAGAAAATCCTTCTTAAACCTATTCAGCGAGGACTCGTATCAATCTCATCTCAGATTCTCTGAGAGAATTTAATCAGATACGATGGAGAGGGAGAGCAGTGAAGAAGAGATTGCTGCTTCAAGGATCCCAAGAGGAGGCCCAATCTATCTTCCCAACATGGTCAGACAAGTTTCTACAGTGCCCGAGTTTCAATCTTCGTGTCTCAGTCTCCTCCCTGATTTGGAAACTCAATTAGCTTCTCCTTCCTCTTCTCACCAATATGATATCTCGTATGTTTTCATTCATTGGCTCTCTCTATCTCTTTTTCTAATCAATATCATGAATGTAAATTTCCCGTTGAGTTTGTTGTTGGTGATGCAAAACTGATGCTCTCAAGATTTTGTATTGACGAGGAACTCACTGATATGGCTATGAAGGAAGCCTTTAAGGAAGATAACCTTTCTTTACACCAGCAGCAAGATGATGGTGATGAAGATACTCTTTCTCTAAAGAACAGTCTCTCATCGTTTCTCATCCCGTTTGTTTGTTGTATAGGAATAATAATAATGCTCTTTCTTGTGTGAATCTTTGGTGTAGAAAAAAGAATTGGGGAATTCATGTAGCTTTTTGTACACTTTTCTTATAGATTTGTGAAATAGTAAGAGATCAGCTTTAGAGTCAAAAGTAACGTTTTTTCATATGCATCCTGACCTGCAGTGAAAATACATTGGCTGGGAATGGAAGTAGGAAAAGAAGGAGGACTGTAAAGACGGCTAAGGTGAAGAAGAAGACTGAGGTGACGAAAACAGTTAAGAAACCTGATGTGTGATTACGTATACTAGATTTTACTATGAGCGTTGGCCGTTGGGTAGTTTTTGACTGCAATCTTTTATGATTAATACTGTCATTTTTTTTTCCAGGAAGCTTATATATCCAAACTAGAGCAGCTTGCTAAACTCAAACAAAAGCAGGATGAGGTTGTGAGGCTACACTGCTTCAGTTCTTTGATTACTAATTTGCATACTCTACTTTACTGGTCTATAATACCTTATACGATTTTGTGCTGATGTTAACACAGTTTTGACTTTCCTTCAGCGAAACGTGGGAAGATGGTGAAGATGTAAGTACATCTCTAGAAGGCTTTGAGAAGATGCAGTCTCTTAAGTCCATTGATAACTATACGGCAAGTGTTTTTTTCCTTTCAGTTTCCTTTTTGAATTTTCCTTACTGCTCATTCATCCTGCTAAACAATTATCTTATTCCTATTTACACAGCTAGTGAAGCCATCAGACATCCAGGGGACAGTAGAGACACTATTTCCTGAAGTCATTTTGTGTGAGATCCCTCTGGATACTTCCTCATTGAAGTAAGAATTAATCATTTTTTTGTATTATGTTATATAGAATTTTCAAAATGAGATGATGGATCTGATGGATGTGAGTTCTGAGATTCAAGAAACGCTTGGTAGAAGCTACAATGTTCCTGATGGTCTTGATGAAGATGATCTCATGGGAGGTAACGCTATTGTTGTTGCATAACGTACTCTGTCTTGCATTTTTCTTAATGGCTTTTGGTGAATTTTTTTTCAGAGCCTGAGGCTCTCGAAGCTGATATGGGAGACGAGACAGAAGCAGATGGGATGCCTTCTTATCTCCAACCCGATAAGCAAAGTGATTACGATGATGAACTTAACTTGCCTCCAATACCTACTGGGCGTACACAGGGTGGTGTTCAGGTTAACTTCTTAAAACCTTTTTTCTGTAACTTTTGATTGTATGATTCGTTTCTTAATGAATATCTAATGAGAGGATTAACGGTGTGGTTAACAGGCTGAGGATGTGTTTGGATTGCCTGCGGTGCCACGAGCTTCTCTTCGAGGATAAGTTTGGCGATTCTCTGTGGAGTGGAGCTACTAAACTACTTTTTAGGCTTAGGGTTCTAATCACTTTGTTCATAACATTTTCATATTTTCTTTTGGCTCTGTAATGGAATCCTTTTTACAATAGTTGCGTGTTATGGATGGCTCTTTCTTCTCGAATTAGCTCCCATATGATTCAGCTAAGGAAACGAAGGAGCTAGCTTTATATGTCATACATTATTACTCATATGTCATACATTATTACTCGCTTTCGTGTTACTAACTAATTTATTTAATACATTGAGACCATATAGAGTTATTCTCTATGTCAGGCTGTTATAGTTATATAGTGTACATAATATCATAATTTTATAAAATACTAAAATAAATTGAGCTGGTTTTCAACTTTCACAAATAAAAAATATTATTAGTAAACTTAGAAAAGAATATATCAAGAATATTCTTTTTCAGGAGAGAAAACAGAAAGTTGTCCAAAAAATGAGAGAAAATAGAAAAAGTATTTTTTGTTGAGATTTCTGTTTTTTTTTTTATTCTTACTATTCTAATGTTTCAATATATTTTGAATATTCCCTTTGTTTTATAACATAATAGTTTAAAAGTATTTTTTGTTTCAATATATAAATTGTCTTTATATTTCAATGTAACTTTATATTTCCTGGATATCGTGTGGCCAATTAAATTATTTTAATTACTATGTAATTGATTACATTTATATATTAAATGACAGTTTTCTAAAGTAATAACATTTATATTACATATCTATCTTATTAAAGTTGTAGTACTCCTTAGATTTGTTTGGAAACTGATATATTAGTAATAAAAAATTTAAAGCTGTTTAGCTATCAGAACACCTTAAACGTGGATATCTATATATTGCTTACTTACATATTTATCTTATTTTCAATCTAACAAATCGATAGCTAAATCATTAAATATGCTTTCTCAAATCTTAAAAAATATCTAATATTGATTACTCGATAATCTTGCTTAGCAGGATCTTCTTATACCGGCCAGATATCTCATTAATTTTCCAAACGAGGTTCCATATATTGCACACAAAATTTTAACAATATCAGCCAAGGAATAACGTATATTACGGTAATCTCATCATAAATACAACTTACCATACCCTTTTCATCCATCTATATATACAGAGTGTAGAATTGGAGTTTTAATGTATATTCGCACAAAATCAAACAGTTTTTAAGATAATAAAAATTTAAAACAATAAAAGAAATATTCAGTTTTATTTGTTGTTGACTAAATTAAAAATAACAACAGTTTTAAAGATAATAACAATTTACATTTCAAATAATTTAATACTCAAATATTTTTTTTATCTAGAGTATTTTACATTATTCAAATTATCATAAAGACACAAAATACTTGAATAGCTTTAACTAAAATATTAAAATTTTGTTTTCGTAACTGGATATTTACCCCGATTAATCTAAAATTAACCCTAGAAATCGTAACCAAACCGCTATCATATTGGAACCAAAAATTTATCTGATATTAGGCGGTTATTATAATTGTTGCCAAACCCAGCTCAAACCAAAAGAATCGAACAAGACACAAATCAATTTATATAGATAACTGAACAGATCTTATATCTATAGAACTAAAAAAAACTACGAACATAAGGAATTCAACAAAAATTGAACCCAAAATCAAACCCCAGTCCTATTACATTCAATACGATCATAGTTTCTAAAATACGGTAATAACCGATGACTTATGAGTATATTATGCTTTCCTAAATTAAGTTAAACCCGCGCCGGTGCGCGGGTCAAGATCTAGTTTTATTTAAAGCTGATTCCATTTTGAAACAGATAGAGTAATCTATAAACTAACTCTATATAGATATGAGGACAAAATTGTTAAGTGATCTCACCTTGAATTTGTCTCATTCTGTGTACTCCTAATTGGAAGGAAATAATCAACATTTAATATTATGTTACTCTTTGTATATTAGAAATAGTTAAACCGTTAACCAATTAAGGATAATGTAAGGAAGACATACAGATATATTTTCAGTTATCACAAATATAGAAGCAATTGGTAACAATTTAATTATGTCCAGCTTAGGACAATAGGAAAGAGTTTTATACCTTCTAATATTATAATATTAATATCTCACTATATTAGTGGCTACATCAGTTTTCTCTATAAAAACACTCGCTCCATTTTTGGAGTTTAAACTTTTTTTATCTGATGATATTAGTAGTTTGATCCCAAAAAAAGAAACGGTCGAACTGTACATTGTAATTGGAAAAAGAAAACAAACAAAAATCAACCGAAGACTTTTAAGGTATATAAACCGGAAGCATAACGACAGGGTGGAGTCATAAAACAGTTTTTTTGTCTTGACGTATCCAAAAAAAAATAGAGTAATCAATGTTGAGGAAAGAAGAAAGAAATGGAAGGCAAAAATATAATGAAAATGCTAAGAAAATACTAAACAAAATATTTTAAGAAAATGAGTTATTATTATAAATTAGTCTAAAAATGTAATTGAATTGACGTCCAAATAATACATAATATAAAATTATTAAAGAGTGATACATGATATATATATAACAGCAACATACAACTTATTTGAAAAGAAAATTTTCATACGTAGACTCAAGAATGACTAAAAGTATATATCGTAAAAATATATTGTATATATTTGTGATAAATAATTTCAGTCACACTAATATTTTCATAATACTTTTTTCTTTATAGTAAAAGAGTAAAAAATATAAATATCATATACACTGCTAAAAATACCATATCCTGTATATAATAACAAAGAAAAGATAGAATCAAAGTACAAAAATTAGAAATAGCAATTCGCTGCAATTAAAGAATAAGGCAAGAAAATTGTAATAATACAAAATAAAACAAGAAATATACATAGAAAGTAAGATTTAGTAAAATAAAATCGTAATATAATTTCCATAAATGATAGTGCTAAGTTACACTAAAAAAAATATAAATTTACAACATACAAAGTTTTATTTACATCTTTAAACCTATTATCTAATTAAAATGATTCTAAAAAAAATGCCAGCAAGAAGAGTTAGAAAATATATGACAAATTTAATACATAATGTTAAAAGTACATTATCTTATCACTTAGAAATCATGTTAGTAGTAATAAAAATGAAATGACAACACATTTATTAAAACCATAGAACGGCACACAACAAATTGTTATTAACTATATAAACTATAAATTAAATATGCTCAACGCAAACACACATAAAAATGAGACATCATATTTTGATATATTTAAATAAATAATGTTAAATATATTATATTCTTGGTAATTTTAAAGTTACTTAAAAGAAACTGATTTATTAACAAATTAATATACAAATAAAACTAAAGCAATATTTTGTAACGTCCAAATAATAAATGATAAAAATATATTATGTTAATAAAATAGATTTTAGATTTTAAAGATTTCTAGTTCATGTAATATTACAAAATTTAAAAAAATTTTATTAAATTGATATTTTATAATTACATATGTTAAAATAATCTTCTAATTCGATATCCAATTGCAGTTTTCAACTATTGCACGTTAAAAATATTATTAAGTTTTTTTTTTTTTTTGAAAAACGGACTTTATATTTTAAGTAGGTTGTTGGAGTACTTTTTCTTTTGGTGAATTTATTCAATGTGAGATTTTGATCTTTTAAACTAAGATAATTAATATTCTATACACAATTATATTATTTTTACATAACTCTAAACTCTCGAACTTAATTCTTCATATTTTATTAGTTAATTATGTTACATATAACAGAAACATATTTTAAAATAGTATAAATTTCATGGTATATTGAAGATAATTATATAACTAAATTATCCATTACCACTAATGAATTATATTCAAATACTTACTTCAAACTAAATTTTTTTTTTAAAAATCAAATTTAAAAATTAGTTAAATATAATATAATATTCAAAAATTCACATACAAATAAAAATGATAAATATAACAAATTTAAATATATTATCTGCGCGTAGCACGGAGAAAGGATCTAGTATTTTAATAAGAGGAGAAAAGAGAAAATTATAAGAGAGTAGAGGGTATAAGGAGTTAATCTCCCTGGTGACTGTATTAGGTTTAGTTAGAGTTATTAGTTAACCAATATGTAAATGTAAACCAATTTTTATTGTAAACCAATGTAATTGTAAACCGGAATTTATTTGTAAACCAAAATTAAATTATTAAATAAAATTTAGGTTTTAATTATAAATTAATTGGTCTATTTAGTTTAATTTTAATAATTTTTTATTCCCATATATAAAAGCTAATTATATATTATAAGTATTAACAATAGCATAGAAGTTATCGCTATAGTTGTTTACTTAACTATCGCATAAACGAAAACCACTATTAAAAGTGTCGGACCTATTATAACGGGCGCTGTCAGAGCGTTCAAAGAAACGCTATTATATGTGAATCATAGCGGTTTCCTTCTGCCACTACAAGAAAAATGGGTATTGATAGCCCGAGGAAACCGCTATTATATGCAATTGATGGGTATTATGAACTGCTATGTCTGCCCCAGCTATAATAGGTCCCCCCTTTTATAGCAGTTTTTGACATGCTATTATTGGGACGCTATATGATAGCGGTATTTATTAATGCTGTTATATAGTTGACATTATAATAGCGTTGAATTTTTTTGCTACAATTTATGTTTCAATAGCATAACTTGCAGGCTATAATGGTTTTTCATATTGCAATAGCAGCTGTATATTATAGCGGTTTATAGATGATATTACTTAATGGTCAGTTTTTCATTGCTTTTTGGATTTGTTGTTAGTAGTTCAATATACCACAACCTGCTCGATTTGCATTTAAAACAGACATACATATTCAAACACACAACCTGCAATATTTATTGAAAAAGAGGTACCAAACTACATGTCCCAATCCGACACAATAATAGTACAAAACATACATAAGTGCATCACTTAGTCTAAGTTATCCAAATAGAGAGA